TATGGTACAGTAAATAATACAAAAATAATTATAATATTTATCTCTAGAAAATTATTATATAATTTTAGTATGTATATCTACAGAACAGTATAAATTATTTACAATTTGTAAATGTAAAAAAAATGAAACATTGTTTTAGGCAAGGAATTACATACAAAGTTTACCACCTTTAAAGAAAAAGAACTTCAAAGAAGTTTTTCGTGGAGCTAATCCATTAGGTAATTATAAAATTAAAAAGTTTATAATCTGGATGGATATAACAAAAAATTAAATTAATATAGTACATATTACTTTGCAGCCATAGATTTACTTGAATTGATGTTGGAGTTAGATGCGGAGAAACGAATTACAGCGGAACAAGCTTTGGCTCACCCATATCTTGCTCAATATGCGGATCCAACAGATGAACCAGTGTCTCTTCCATACGATCAAAGTTTCGAAGACATGGATTTACCAGTTGAAAAGTGGAAAGGTATAAATTCAACTACAATTTGAGAAACAAACGTCAAAATTACCTAATTATTGTTAAATATTTTCAGAGCTCGTTTATCATGAAGTTATAAACTTTGTACCACAACAATTACCAACATTATCTTCAACAATTGAAGCTGCTTCATAAAGTCATGTCGGTAGCATAAATAATATAGGCATAAGCATAGTAAGATAAAATTAACAAGAAATAATTACAAAGGAAAGTATATATATTTGTTATATACAAAGCTATCATTGTATATAATGTTACATAGGTAACATAGTTAATCACATAAGCCTATGCGTACTAAGGGCAGAATGTATATTTTTGTTAATGACGTACGATACACGGAACACTAACATTTTTCACTTTACACGCATAAATTGTTTTAAAATATAAACTTACAAACATGCAACGCGTATATTCGTATTCATGGTTATACATGAACATTTTATTATGTATCCATGAATCTAAATGCTTTGAAGCTACAATTATACCTTAGTATGTATTTAATGAATATATTTAAAGCAAAGAAAATAATATTTTTCATGAAGTGTAACCTCGTAATGTAAAGAAAACGGTAACATTAGCTTCAAAGCATTCAATTTTGTTTAAATACATTGCTGGTTCTAGTCGGTAACGGAAAACATGTTAGATCAAATTTATCATTCAAATTAATTTTATTACATCATACGTAAATAATTTAAAATCATGTCATGTGTATGATAATATTAAAGTAATGCTTTTAACAACAAAAATGGCCGAATAAACTTTTTGATCTTTGTATATTGTTTATTTCTTGTATGTTAAATGATTAGTGTTGATAAAAATTGTTTAATAAATACTGGATATCTGAATTATTTGAATTAAATCGGTTACATGTCTATGGGAAAGAAGTCTATAGATAAAAGGACTCTTTGTATACTTCATGCATCTTTTCACTTTTTTTATGCGTATTTTTTAAAATTTTTAGTTACTTTTTAAACGTTCGTATACATATATACATAATGAAGGATTCAAATGTACTTCGTTTATTGCGATCTTTCGAAAAGGAAATTCTTACTATAAAGTTTAATACAACTTCAAGAGATGCGATTACGAAACTGCAATGATGTGATAAATATCGACGTGTCAGTAAAGGAGAACAAATAACCTGATTATGATAAAATAATCGAAGCAATATCATGTCAATTGTATGGAGTGAAATTCAAACTTTGAAATTAGTGATTCTTTATAGTCGACATGAATGTTTGTGGAATCCTTTTCATCCTGACTTCAAAAATAAACTTTGCCGCTACAAAGCATACAAAGACATTGTAGATTGCATGAATACCTGTGATTTAACAGTTTGTGATTGTATTAAAAAGATTACCCAGATAAGGGTGCAGTATTGTTACGATTTGTCTAAAATTACTGCAGCAATATCCTGTGAGAAAATATACAAACCAAAAGCAAATTGGTTTCCAATAATGCATGAAATACTTTTTCCATTTATTAAAACGTATGGTTACAGAAATGACTCCTGGAAGGTATATAAAAAATCATATTATTTATTACATGTTAAAACTGTTTATTTGTAATATAACTAATCTTTTATCTTAGGTATGCAACAATGAAAGGGACCCGTTTAAAAACTATCGCAATAATGAAATAAATGATCAGTTATATTTAAAAAAAATGCCGGGGTCTTGTAATTGCACCCGCACAAATTGCGACTACAGTGAGTTTGATAAGATGAAACCTCCTATAAGTTCCAAGTAAGTCATTCAATTTATAAGTGAGTGTCAATTAATTCATTATTAACTGTGTATCTATTTATGTAGGAAATGCTGGACAGCAGTGGAAAATAATAAAGGAACAAGTTACTTACACTCACAAGTAACTAGAATTAATACCGGATGTAATCCAAAGGATAATACTACTACAGAGAACGAAATGCAAACAGATCTATCTTCATTCAAAACCAAATGTAGAGCGTGTCAAACCTGTACAACTGACAACACAATTGTTATGAGTAATTCGGTAAATACAATCAAATTAGCACTATGAACAAGTAAGATTCCGGTCATTTGAAAATTAAAACATGCGTGTAAAATATTTTACAGAAAGACTTTGTATATGAGAATAATACAACAATAGACGAGCAATATAAAACAAAAAGAAAAGTTTATGACGAATTTGAAATGTTCGGAAAGAGCATAGCGTGTCAGTTGCGGAATATCAATTTTGGTAAATATAATATTGTACATTGTTATGTATTATTAATCTGTTATTGACATGATATCAATTGTTTGTAGAAGTTGCGATTAAGTTGGAGGAACGTATACAAAACTTGATCGCACAGGAACGTCTAAATAAAATAAACTTAAAATCTATCTCCCACAGTTTTAACGCAGCATGTTGTAGTTCTAATTGCAGCGAATGCAAAGTAGTGCGTAACGAAACGGTTTGTAAATGCGGTCTACCAGTGATAAAAATTCAAACTGATGCGTCTTGTGAATTTTATAAACAACAAATCTAAACTCAGTTGATTTCATTACCAATAATTTATTATAATTTCCTGGCATCTAGTGTTCCGCCTAAAGAACAAGTATTATTTCGGGGAACATACGAATAGCAACTATAGAAAAAAAAAATTCAATACAAATAGCATAAAGCAATGTGACAACCGTTCTCGTTCGATGTATTTTGTGATCAAGTTCACTCATGTTTCTTAACCGTTAATTATACAATTATGACAATACACAAAAAATTCTGAACGTGCAAAGAATCGTAATCCATACCCATGGGAAATCACCGGGTTGAAATACGGTCGATAAAAACGCTGGAATCGTCAAAATGTCAAAATGGAACGAAAAATTAATAATGAAATTTTTAAAAGCGTATAAACAACATTCTTGCCTTTGGAATCCTTACGATAAGGACTATTACAATTGCAAGGCAAAGAATGAAGCGTTACAGAGAATTATCGACGACCTCGATATTCCCGGCTTTACTGTAACTGATTATTTACAACAAATAAA